GCGTTTATGCATCAGCACATCACCTTCGTGGACACAACTTTCGCATCAAAATTGTTGACGAGGCCTGGTGATTGCTTTGTTTGGCTGAGTTCAACCTGCTGGTTTTCCTGTCGGCCGTTTGTTCCAGGTCTTCGTAAAATTAGCTGATCATGGAAAACTAAGCCAGCTACAGCTACAGCATGCTACCGCTAACCGCTAATTGTTGCTGATCCTTGAGTTCAAGTGGAAGTTGAAGGGCTCAGTGGCACATTGATTGTGGAAGTTTTGGTTTCTATGGCCTATTTTAATTTTGCCCGGCTGCAATGAGTAGTTCCTTTGGAGGAGACAGCAGCCGGCTCAGCCGGTCGCCCAAAAACCTAGGCACACCATTTGGAGATGAAGCACTCGAGCGGCATGGGCCCCAAAAACTGATCGCCAGATTTGTGGCTTAGATTTTTTCAGGAGACAAGATGAGATAAGTAAAGGATGGATGAAAGTTGATGAAGAGGCTGATAGTCCATACATGTCCATACAGTCCATCATGAATCAATGGATCAAAATCTCCAGTCAATTGATGATCGACATGTCATGCACCGCTCAAAAAAACCTGCCCAGGTTACACTGGAATCATCAAACACAGGATCTCAAGCGAGCTGGCAGCCCACTTCACCGCCACCTTTTACATGCCTCGGAACATTGACTTCAGATACGACCTGGACAGAGCCATAGAAGAAGGTCGGAAAAAAGGGGAAGGGCAGAGGTCAGGATGGGGTCAAAACAGTGAAGATCTTGGGAAAAACATGTAGGACACCATGCAGAATCGTGCCGATAGACGGATGGACAGGTAGATAGGTAGGAAAGTGGGTAGATATGGTTTTGCCATGTTTTGCCCAGAATATGCCCAAAAAAATTGACGGGGAAGATGATGGTTTTGGGGTACGATGCTTTCGGCCAAATCTGACAAACCAACAGAAGTATGCGTAAATCAGGAGCATGTTTTTTAGTTTCATGCTCGCGGGATAGAACGAGGGTGTCCAGTTTTTCCTGATGTTTCAATCTGGCATGGTGAACGGGTCCTTTCTGCGATTCATGTTTGCACATGACTCCTCATTGTTCATCATGTTTTGCAAGACGGCACTTTTCCATGACACACCCATCAGAATAATACGGTGCCCCCAATTTGATGATCGATCATTATTTTCCCCCTGAAAGTTGCCATTTGGCGAGTAAACCATCCCATGAGCAGCCAAGGTCACGTTTGCGATTTTATGATTACGGTGCCGGTTGGTGCCACTCATGATATGGAAAGTATGGGTCGGTTTATCCTGGAAAATCGGGAGCGGTTGACGCCCATGCTGGTGGCGCTGAATCGTGCCTTGTTTGCAATTGAGGAATTCAGCAGTCAGTATGCAGCATCAGACTAAAGACATGCGCACTGGCTGGAGGAAGATCCAAGAATCTGATCTTCAACTATATCATATTACCATACCTATTATGATTATTATGATTGTCAATTAAGACCAAGTGCGGCGTGTATTTATATGTATTTATTCCATTGGTCCACTGCAGGCGCTTGTGTCATAGAAGATTACATGCAACTGCTCCGACCCGGTGATTTCACAATGTTTTACTTTTTGTTTCCTTTGAAGCACGCTATGTTGAGTGAATGCGCCCTTTGCACTTGCATGGGCAAGTGTAAACGGCGCAAGAACCGAACAGAACCAAACAGAACAGAACATGCACCTGCAGACAGGTGTGCAGCGAGCCAAAAAGTTTGCAGAGGTCCTTTGCAAGTTCGGTTTCTTGTCAGCCAGACAGCAGAATTAGGGGATGCGATTGTTTCTGGATCCATGCTTGGGAAATCTCTAAGTTTGGGGGGAAATGCCAGCAGTGAAGAGAAACAACATTTTTTGCGGTTGAATATGAGAGTCTTGGATAGTCTTGGGACATATGATGACATATGATATGCATTTTGAATCATTTTGATAAATAGCTAGCTAGATAGATAATGATAGATAGAAAGATAGAAAGAGAGAAAATGATAGAAAAATAGAAAGAAAAATAGCGATGCAGATCAATCTTTGGTCCCGAGCCTTGAAGTCCTCGAGCTTTGGCCTCGCAGCGGAGGACTGTCGGCCAAAGCTGTCGATGGGGGCTTGAACCACACCGTGCGGCATGGGATTAAGAAAGCCCTTTGGCAATCAAAGGCGGTTTTGAAGCGGCAAAAATGGCGATTTAACCATCGAAAATGGAAATTTGAGGATGGACCAAATCCTCTACCATCGTTGGGATGAACATCCATGTGCAAGCTATTTGGCATTTGGCGGTTTCAGCATACCAGGCTTTGTCGCGTCGTTTAGGTTCACTTCTCCAGGCGGCATTTCATGAACCTAAGGATTTGCAAAATGGAAAGCTGGACGCAGTTTCCGTGGTCAATATCTTCAATGAGGCCACACGAAGATTCATGGATTCAAAGGTCCATCCTGGAAGGAAGCCCAATTCAGATCAATTCACGATAATTCACATATGTCCGGGGAAGCTAAAACACATTTAAACATACCAACCATTCAGGATCTTTGGATTGCACCGAGCCGCTATTTCAGGGCACATCCATCAACGAGCTGAAGTCAGTGGTCTTCATGGACAAACGGCAGAGTGCAATCAACGTGATACTTGACGTACGTATACATACCCGTACTTTATGTTTATGGGGTGTCCTTTCCTGCATAAGCTCATAAAGGTGGCTGGTGTGGATGGGTAATCGATGAAAATTACAACAAGAGTTGAGTTAAAGAGAGCTGTGCTCCTCTCGCTTAGATTTCGTTGAGGTTTACTTGTTGCAGACATAGAAGAACCATGTAGAACTGAACTACTAGCTAACTGCCCTAGCAAACTCTTTTACCCCATGCAGCTTTACACATAGATGCAATAAGTCAGGTATCATGCCAGAAGCTTTCAAAGCTCATCGCATTCCCAAGGAAACAGCTGGCGATGCGCGTGACGCGATTGCACGACACCAAACCCTTTGCCAATGTGGTGCTGCCTTTATGTGACTTGAAATCATTCTGACCGGATGGAGGTGGATGCAAGGAAGATGAGATTGTTCAGTTCGAGAGTTAAAAACCACCAACCGGTCGACTGGTTGACCAGTCCCAGTTGATTCAAATGGGGTTTGCAGAACCTGGGGCGAGCACATCCTGTGTGCTCAGGTGATGGGAGCTTTGATAGAGACATCAGAAACATCATCAGGTGCTGCGCAGTGGCTTTGCAAACTGATCCCCCATAGTACGGGATGTACGGGGTTCTGGAGTGTTGTTGGATGGCGGCCATGACCGCAGCTCAGCTTGCAGGTCCCTGGCAGAGATCCACCCACAGCTCAAAGGAAGAGGGCAAGAGCACTTCTGTAAGTGGTTCCCTGGTTCGACAGGGCTGGGGATTGGCAGAAACACCGGTGGCCAGACACCAGGTATCAGTAGGTACTGGCGCGGATTACCGCATTTTACAACTGATGGAATTTAACGGCCTGGAGTTATTCTTGAGGTGTTGATCTTTGTTGATTGTGCTTGTTGGTAATGTGAAGTGTAGAGAGAGTCCTACCTTCCCACAGCTGCCTTCCATTTGCCCTTTGCCTTGCTCCCCTGCTGCCCACCACCGCAGTGTGTTTTTTTTTTCTCCCGCGCTTTGTGCAATCCAGGGTTCTCTTTGCAAGTGTGGGCATGTTGGAAGTTTGTCCAGCAATTCATTTTTAAGGGTGCACCACAGAGGATGGCCGCTGTGTTTCTGCATAGTGGATGGCTCGGAGAAGCCATAGCCATTCCTTTTGTCATCGGAGCGGAGGCACCCAAGCATACATTCTGAGCTTGATGATGAAGCTGTTTGAACCTAATCCCAACCTGTGGCCAGGTTCCATTTCGTGCCTTTGCGAAAGGGGCAGAATTCCAGCACCTGGTGTTGCATTATGCATGGTATATAACGGCATATACTGTATGGCGAATTTGAATTTATCATCGAAGACTCAAGACTCCTTTTTTTGCTTGATAGTAGTGGTCTCTATCTCATCCTTTAATGTGCTGTCACTTTCTTCCAACCCGGGCAGCCACTGAGGCGATCTGGATGGCATGGACTGGACCAATGTTTCGACGGAGCTGTTTGATCGTTATGGGCGCTACCTTGGTGGTGGCAGAGGGATGGAGGCGCCTTTCTGGTTCTGTTTGGGCCAACAAAGGCCATGTCTGCCACAAAGTGGATATGGGATGGGCATGGCCCAAGCATGTTTGCCATCCAAAATGATCCAAAATGGATGATGGAAGATGCAACACAAAAATGACCTGCAGTATTGTTCTGTTCCATTCGGGCCCCCATCGTTTTCCATTTGAGCCACGATGGCAGGTCTTTGACCAACGTGTGCAGCAGCTGACGAACTTCATGGAGGAACATGATCACCTTCCGCAGCGAAAAACACCTCACCAGGCTACCCTTTGGCCGTGCTGCGTGGGAGCGGTATGCCATTGGCGGAGGAAAAAGATTGAAACATTTGAAACCGGGAAACCTTCCCAGAGGCGACTGAAACATGTCGAGATTCTGGGTTGCCCTAGCTGGGTGTTGATTTCTTGCGACGATCTGGTGGGCTGAAGTAGTTCTGCACAATTTCATCCCATTCTTGGTGCTTTGCAGGATGAACGCATGTTGGCAAGTGTGGTGCTCAGTTCTTGTTGGGACGTTGGAGTCTCGCAATGCCAAAGTTCTTTAGATATCGTTAGATGTCATTGGATGTCTTGGATTCCAGTGGGCTCTTTTTGTGGTGCTTCGCAATCAAGAAGGCCTGTAGGCCTCGCTTGGCCCACTTGCGGCCATGTGGCAGACTTGTTTATGACATGTTTCTGAAGCCAAGTTTGTGTGACAAGCCATGAGTGACGAACCTCATCGAGTCTTAGTCTTAGCAGGCAAAGGCCGTATTGACTTGTTTGGAGATTTTGGAGTTTGCTCAGGTTACATCCTGTACTGCAGAAAGAAGTTCAGAGCCAATGTGGCACGGCTAGCAGTGCAGAAGACCAGGGGGCAACCACTTTGCTAGGCTATAATACTATAAGTCAAACTCCGGCCCTGCAGGAGAACCATAGAGAACCGCTAAGATCTAATCCTGGCTGGGAGATGCCCCAAATGGACTGCCAATCGCAAGCGGATATCATTTCCAAGCGGTACTGTATCTCTTGCAGTTTTAAGCGCGCCATTTTCATCCATTTTCAGTACTTACTTGTAGCCCTGTCCTACGATGGAAAGACAGAGCTCCTGCAACAAAGGCGTTTCATTTGTCTACTATCCGTCATAATTATGTACAAGCCCCTAAAATTCTTACAGCTCCGAGCAGAGCCCGCCAAATTGAATCCCCAAAAATGAGTTTCATGATGTTTCATCAAAATTGTTTCGAACCAAAAAGCTCTTCATGCAAGTACCGCCTTGATATGCCATTGGGAATGCTATATCCATAGCATTCCATAGCTATCCATCGGTTACCCCCATCCGCCAGGCCTTGAGCGATGCCCAGATCCTCCAACTACGAGAAATCCCGCAGATGGCGGAGTTCATGGAGACATGGGATGATGAGGTGCCTGCGATAGATGCATTGATGGTCATACAATGTCATACATGAGAATGATGAATGTGATGAATGGGATTTATATATGATTATATATAATTATATATATATATACTTATTTATTTAATGAATTGATCTGCAAAGTCATGTGTGGACTCTGAATTAGGCAGGAGGCCCTATGAAATCCAGGCCTTGGAAATGATTTTGTGACGTGTACACCGCCACCAAGATCACCAAGGTTCCAGATCGTATAGACACCTTTGCAGAGAGGTGCATGATGCTGAAGAAATGGGAGGCACAGCGGGTTCGCAGCAGCGTTTGGAGAAGGAACCCGACCACCAGAGACTGGTTTCCCTAATGTGTTAAAGGTGCCCGAACTGGCGTTATGTAAAGCCAGTTTTGTTGCGCACGTACTATTGCGAAATGAGGCTGCTTGGCATGTTGCAGTTCGAAAACCATTCAGGTGAAAAATGCACTAATGCAGCAATTGGTAGGTCAATTTCATGATTTTTACCTGTCGATAGGCGTTGATGGCTAGTTCCCAACCCCAAAATTTCTAAAGAGATGTGAATGATCAACCAAGACCCAGGACCCAGTGGGAGTTGGCTTCGTTGAACTTTGCATTGCTTCCTGTAGGCGATACATCACCGGCTACCCCAGGGACAGCATTGCAGCCAGGAGGAGAAGTTCCTGATCCATGTGTTGCACGAGGTGCCTGGAAAGCGCAGCGCTTTCCATTTTGGAGATAGGGCCATGGCGGCCATGGGTTTGTTTGTCTATCTATCAAACTAACTGACCAACTAACTGACTAACTAATTAACTAACTACCTAACTATCCAACAAACAAAGAAACTAACCAACTATCTAACAAACAAACAAACTAACAAACGAACTAACGAACGAACGAATGAACAAACTCAGTAATTAACTAACTAACTAACTAACTAACAAACAAACTAATTAACTAACTAACTAACTAACTAATTAGTTAACTAACTAACTAACTAGCTAGCTAACTAACTAACTAACTAACTAACTAACTATCCAACTAACAATCTAACTAACTAACTGACCAACCAACTAAGCAACAAACCAACTAACCAACTAACCAGCTAACTAACTAGCTAACTAAGTAGCTAACTAACTAACCAACTAACTGACTAGCTAACAAACCATCTAACAATCTAACAATATAACAGTCTAACTAACTAACTAACCAACCAACCAACCAACCAACGAACTGACTGACTGACTGACTGACTAAATACCAAACTACCTAAGTAACTAATCCATCTATATATCTATTCATTTTATGTTATTATTATAGCATAGGTACTTTCAACGCAAATCAATGATGATGTAGATGGGCAGCATCTGAACTGTTTGATTTTTGCACCTTTCGCATTGTGAAATGAACGAAGACAATTACCGCACTGTAAAAACCACAGCTTGGCTCCAAGGTTGGCCAGCATGATATACTGCACAGGTTGGGCGAGCATTCCGCGCTGGGCAGCTCACAGAGGATCAGATCCGTCAGTTGGAGGAGATCCCAGGAATGCCACAGAGGTTGGAGAAGTGGAAGCGGCTGATGATGAAGAAGGCCCATCCTTGGGATCATGTAGTCTCACAGCAGAGATAGCCAGACGTAAGTAAGGATGGAATGGGAAATCATGGTGCCCCAAGTCCCAAGAACAATGATTGCTTAAGGGACCTTTGAGCATCATTGCAATCATGCACAAGTACATTCATCAAGCAGCTGTGCAGGAAGCTCGAGCCAAATGGACTTGGTCTGAAGGATGTAATGCCTTGAAGGAATGGCTGAAGAGCCATGGAAACAGCGACTCGTCGGGCTATTTGCACGAAGTTCACTCTTTCTTTCTTGTCACTAGCTTTGATGTGGGGTTTGATGACCCCGCGAAGCAGCCTCAGCCACCAGCAAGAAATGAATGCCGGTTTTGGAAGTTGTATCCATTAGGGGTTTGCTGGTACATGAGTGTCCATACAGACAGCTAGGGGTGCTGGCCCAGTTGGCCAGTCACAAAGGGGGAAAACATGACAAGATGAGAATGTATTGTGGCAGCTGGTCATGCATCGAGAGAACACTTTTGTCTTGTTTTGAGGAGGTTTGTTTCTAGGGCTGTAACCTCAATGGGTTCGGGCCATTCGACTTGGCGTTCGCCCTCCAGATCCCATCACGAGTTTCGAAGGAAAGCCACGCAGTGGTGGGGAGCTCCATGAGTACGCCCTTTGGGAGTGGTTGTCAGCAGCCAGGCTGGTGAGTGTTGGGAAGAGCGGGCCATGCTCCATAACTGTTTAACTTCTACCGATTCTACCTTTGGAAAGCAGGTTCAAATTGAGGGGACAAATGGTAACACACAACACATTGCAACACATTGCAACACACGGCAACACATGGTAACACATGGTAACACATGCTAACAGAGGACCCAAGACGAACAGCTTAGCAAGCATCAAAACCGTTCTTCCTCGGCAGGAAGCGATTCATCAAGGGCCGCCTCAGGGAGGAAGAGATTAGAGAACTGGAGCAGCTCCCTACCATGATGTGGGAGCTCCTACAGTGTCTTGGCTAGTGCTGCTGCTTGTGATCATCGGAGGCGAGATGGCCAGCTGTAAATGTTCAAAAACTGATGCCAGGCTAATGCAGTTCATCGTAGCTCATCTTTGTTTCTTTGGTTCTTGTTCCACAGTCATGAATGTCAACAATGAGTTCAAGCTCTTCGCCCCAAAAGTCAGAGAAGCACTGGGGATGGCCAATGATATCAATCAAGCCCCTAAGGTGGGAAGCACGATGGGGCCCAGAGGAACGTTGGCAGCAGCATGCGCAGGAGCCCCGAAAATATGACGGCCTTGCATGGCCTTGGTATGCCTTGGTGGCGCGCCGAAGCTCCAATATATTTTACACGTGCTTGAGATGTCGTACCAAGCCTGCCAGTCAATTCGTACTAGGACCCTAGGAGACAATTATTTGGTGCTTTATTCACGTCTACGCCTCGTGTGCGCTTTCCAGTGGCAGCAGGAGTTCCAAAGTTGGGTGCAGAACCGCAGTTTTCCAGAGGAGGCAGCTGAGAAAGAAGACTCACAGGGCTGAACATCATTAATGTTGGCTGCCTAATAATAAATACCCCCCCCTAAATTTTAATTTTTAAAAAAATATTTTTTTGGGGGGGGTCAACCTTCCTATAATAATCTATTTGTGGGAATCTATAGCTGGGATCATGATATGTAATTACTGTATCTGATTGATTCTCCATGGTTTTGTTGGGTTTCTGTTAGATTCTGCATAGGGTTTGGTTAGATTTCTGAGATGTTCTGCATAGGTTCTGCATGGATTAGGGTTGGTTTCTGTTAGATTCTGTATGGATTTGGTTTAGTTTCTGTTAAAATCTGCATGGATTTGGTTTAGTTTCTGATGGGATCTGCATTGGATTTCTGAGATGTTCTGCATGGATTTGGTTTAGTTTCTGATGGGATCTGCATAGGATTTGGTTGGATTTCTGAGATGTTCTGCATGGATTCTGCTTAGTCTTGGTGAAGTTTCTGGTGGATTGTCATTGGATTCTGATTGAGGACCTCTGTTTTCTGATAGGCTTTGGTGGGATTTTCATTGGATTCTGATTGATAACATCTGTTTTCTGATAGGCTCTGATGGGATTCTCATTGGATTTTCTGTACCTGGGATGGATTCTGATGAATGGTCTGATGCTTCTGTAGCTGTGATAGTCTGATCTGCTCTGTGATAGTCTGGCCATGCCATTGCTGCCTGATCTGTGGGACACAGCCCTTGGTTGCATCCTGGATCTGGTCACTCTGGGCTGCCAGATCTCTGTCTACATCTGGCTGCTGCTTCTGGCATTTGGTGGACATGTGCTGGTGGGCTATGGCTTGGTGACTCTGGGAGAGTTTCTGCAGCTGGCACTGCTGTGTGTGGTGATCACTCTGCTGAGTGGCATTCTGCAGGAGCTGAAGTGGCATGGTGATTATCTGAGAGCCCATGGTGTAAAGCTGGACATTCTGATCGAACCCAGCATTTCTGCTGGCTAGCTCTGATTTTCTTGGAGCTGAAAAGTCTGCTTTTCCCAATGTAGTTGCATTCTGTTTTATCTGAGAGTTGAGAGTCCAATGGAAGTCTGTGAGAGTCTGATTGCCTTCTGATTGCATTAGGTTCTGATGGTTTCTGATAAGGGTTTCATTGGATTCTGATGCATTCTGTGCAGCATCTGCATGTATATATACTATAATATATATATATATATTATATACACATTATACATACTATATATATATATATACTATATATATATTCTGATGATGTTCACTGGATTCTGCTGGTTTTTCTGAAGCTGTCCATTGGATTCTGCATGGTCTTCTGCAAGTGCCTCATTGGAATCTAGATGGTTTTTCTGCAAGTTTTTCTGATTATCTTCATGTGATGCTGTTGTGAATTTGCAGCATTCTGGCCTAGATCTCTGGCATTCTGGTGTTCTGATTCTCACTCGCTTTCTGGTCTTCTGATCATGTCGATGTCTCTGTCCATGGATGTCCCCTCTGAGACTGGTGCTGGTGCTGGCCCTGGCTCTCTGGATCATCTGAATGATCCTGACAAGAGGAACAGGGTGGCCACCAGGTCTCTGTGCAATCTGCAGCAGGAGATCTCTGCCTACAGGGCTGCCAAAGATGGCAGGGGCTATGTGCACAGCTCTGGTCTGTGCACATATGCCGTTCTGAAAGGCAGGGTGCGCTGGGAGTTACTTGTTTTCTGTTTGATTTTTTTCATTTTTGTATGTGTTTGTGGTTTACTTTTGTTTTTTTTCTTCTTTGCTGGTTATGTTTTTTTTAATTCTGGAACCTGCTTAGGATGGAGAACTATCTGGGCAGTGGTGGACCTCCTTGCCTCTGGAAATGGATCTGCCTAATGGCCTGGCTGTCCTGTGCCTGTGAGCTGCTGTACCAGTCCATCGATGCTGGCATGAGCTCTCTGAATGTTGCTGCTGTGAGCAGAAATCTGGCACTGGTCTGGACAGAGTTTCTTGGCTGGCTTTTAAGCATTATGTTTAGTATATAGTGTGTATATATATATAGTGTATATATATATACACAATTGTTTAGTATATTTATAGTAATTAGTATATTTAGCATATAATATATATATAACTATATATAATATTTATAGCATATATATATAGTTGTTTATTCTGTTTACTGTTCTGGTTTGGAGCTTCATGCTTCTGAGGATTCCTTGCTTCTGCGCTTCTGAGATCACTGTGTCTCCTGCTGATTGCACTCTGCCTGAAGGCTTTGAACTCTGGGCTCTCTGGGTCAAAAGCTGTGACTTGATCAGCTGATTGCACGTTTTTTTTTCTAGTCTTTTCTTTTTGTTTGCCATTTGTTTTGGTTTGTTTTTGTAATCTCTAATGCCCTTATTCCAGGCTTCTCTGAGTGCCAGCACCAGTTTGTCTATGTTCTGGAGCTCGCTGAAGCTAATGGCAAAGATTCTGATCTGCTGATTTCCCAGGCCTGGGTCTATTCATTGGCTGCAATGTTCTGTTTTTTTTTTTGTTTGCTCACTGTTTTTTTAATTGCTTCCCTGCAGGTGAACTGGCCTCTGGAGTTTCTGAAGCCACCTCCTCTGAGTGCAGAAGCCAAGGCTTCGATGAAGAGGAGGAGGGAGGCCATGATGTGAGCATATGGTGATCTGCTGGTGCTGCTCTGCTGGTCTGGTACTGGAGCCTTGGTTTTCTTTAGTTGTCTGCATGTTTGGGGGGAAAGGTTCTGATTGTTTGTGCATAGTTTCTGATTCATGTTGGGTGATTCATGTTTGAAAGGTTCTGCATAGATTCCTATTGGTTTCTGATTCATATTGGCTGATTCATTTTTGAAATGGTTTCTGATTAATTTTCATTGGTTTCTAATTCATGTTGGCTGATTGCAGGATCGATTCTGCTGCAGCACCTGGCTGTGATCCATGGCCTCTGTGAGATCTGGCCTTGCAATTTTGCAACTCTGCTCTGAGAACTGTGGAACAACAATTGAGGAGTCTCTGGCAAGTTTCTGCATGGCTTCTGAGTAGATCTGGTTCTGCATGACTTCTGGTGAGTGAACAGTTAATATTTGAATCTGATAATTATTATCTGAACATGATAGGATATGATATGAATTTGTTTTAATCTGCTGAGAAGTCATTGTATCTTTTGTTGGCCTTGATGGCCTCTGATCGATGCTGGATGCTGGAAGCCAGTCACCAACTATCTGGCAAGCAGCTCTGGTGGCAAAATTCTGATGCATCTGGGTGCATCTTCTGAAGTATGGCTCTGTTTTTTGAAATGTCTTGGAAGTTTCTGTTTTTTGAAATGTATTTGAAGTGTCTGGTGACAAAGCTTCTGATAGTTTCTGCATGATTTCTGGTTCATGTTGGCTGGTTCATGTTTCAAAGGTTCTGGATTGAGATTCTGATTGGTTTGTGATTCATGTTGGTTTCAAAGTCTCTGATTCTGATTTCAAAGGTTCATGTTTCTGATTCAAGTGCTGCAAATTGAAAAGGTTCTCATTGGATTCTGAGGTTTCTGAATGATGAGTTGATTAAATTTGAAGTTCTCATTGACATGATTCCGCAGTCTTCTCAATGGTCTATGGTTTTCTGCAGCATTTTGCAATCAATGGTTAGTTCTGAATTGCTTCATTCTGTGGCATTTTGCCATGGGTTCTGATGAAGTTGCTGAAGTACCTCATTTTGGGGAGCAAGCTGGAGTATGTCATTCTGGTAGCCAGCAGTTGGTAGCAGCTGATTCTGGTGCAAAATCTTCTGTAGAATCTGGGGGAGGCTGGGGGAGGACAGAGCCTGAGAGGACACAGCCTGAGAGATATTGTTTTTTTTTTCTTGGTTTGATGTATGTGTGTTTCTTGTGATGTGTTTATGGTGTTTCTTGTCCAGTGATACAGGTTTATTATTGCTATTCTGGTGCAGGTTTATTATTGCTATTCTGGGGCTTGTAAAGGGGATACCCTTTGTGGACCTGTTTTCTTGCTTTTTTTAATAAGGGTTTTATAAGGAAATCAGCTGTTTGGCAATTGGATCAGATTTCTGGAATCTAAGCTTTTGTTAATGAAAAGTGCTTGCTGCTTTGAAAAGGGTTTTGCTTTACTTTTCTTTCTCCAAACATCTGAAAACAAAACCAGGGGAAGCACCATTGGAATTCATTATTGCTATGCCTGGTGCAGGTTTATTATTGCTATTCTGGAGCTTGTAAAGGGGATACCCTTTGTGGACCTGTTTTCTTGCCTTTTTTAATAAGGGTTTTATAAGGAAATCAGCTGTTTGGTAATTGGATCAGATTTCTGGAATCTAAGCTTTTGTTAATGAAAAGTGCTTGCTGCTTTGAAAAGGGTTTTGCTTTACTTTGCTTTCTCCAAACATCTGAAAACAAAAGCAGGGGAAGCACCATTGGAATTCATTATTGCCATGCCTGGTGCAGGTTTATTATTGCTATTCTGGAGCTTGTAAAGGGGGTACCCTTTGTGGACCTGTTTTGTTGCTTTTTTAAATAAGGGTTTTTTAAGGAAATCAGCTGCTTGGTAATTGGATCAAATTTCTGGAATCTAAGCTTTTGTTAATGAAAAGTGCTTGCTGCTTTAAAAAGGGTTTTGCTTTACTTTGCTTCTCCAAACATCTGAAAACAAAAGCAGGGGAAGCACCATTGGAATTCATTATTGCCATGCCTGGTGCAGGTTTATTATTGCTATTCTGGGGCTTGTAAAGGGGATACCCTTTGTGGACCTGTTTTCTTGCTTTTTTAAATAAGGGTTTTATAAGGAAATCAGCTGTTTGGTAATTGGATCAGATTTCTGGAATCTAAGCTTTTGTTCCTGAAAAGTGCTTGCTGCTTTCAAAACGGTTTTGCTTTACTTTGCTTTCTCCAAACACCTGAAAACAAAACCAGGGGAAGCACCATTGGAATTCATTATTGCCATGCCTGGTGCAGGTTTATTATTGCTATTCTGGGGCTTGTAAAGGGGATACCCTTTGTGGACCTGTTTTCTTGCTTTTTTAATAAGGGTTTTATAAGGAAATCAGCTGTTTGGTAATTGGATCAAATTTCTGGAATCTAAGCTTTTGTTCCTGAAAAGTGCTTGCTGCTTTCAAAAGGGTTTTGCTTTACTTTGCTTTCTCCAAACATCTGAAAACAAAACCAGGGGAAGCACCATTGGAATTCATTATTGCCATGCCTGGTGCATGTTTATTATTGCTATTCTGGGGCTTGTAAAGGGGATACCCTTTGTGGACCTGTTTTCTTGCTTCTTTAATAAGGGTTTTATAAGGAAATCAGCTGTTTGGTAATTGGATCAAATTTCTGGAATCTAAGCTTTTCTTAATGAAAAGTGCTTGCTGCTTTCAAAAGGGTTTTGCTTTACTTTGCTTTCTCCAAACATCTGAAAACAAAACCAGGGGAAGCACCATTGGAATTCATTTGAAGATCTCTGAGATGGGCAACCCTGGTGTCTGTTCCAGGTGCAGGTGGACCTCTGGATGTCTGAGCTGCTCTGTTGAGAAAGCTGAGAAATACCATCTCAATGTTCTGAGACACAGTCTGGGATTGGCCAAGCTCTGTCAGGGCCTCATTTTCTGCTAGTTTTGCATGTGTTTTCTGTAGTTGCTGACTGGGAAGCATGTTTTTCTTGCAACTCTGAATAGCTTTTGTCACAGGAAAGTGGTCTGGAGCGTGGTCTGCAGCAGCTGTCTAGTGCTACTTCTGGCTGCTGGGAGCGAAGCCTTTGCAGCAGCTGCCTGGTGCTGCTTCTGGCTGCTGCTGGCAGATCTGAACCTGCTTCACTGCATGTGTTTCACTGCATCTGTTTCAATGCATGCTTTTTGCACATCTGTACTGACAGATCTTGCTGCTGTCAGTTGAAAATGGCACAGCTCAGGCTGCCTCTGGCTGTATTTGGCTAAGCTTCTAGTGCATGGATTCTGCATAGGATTTGGAGAAGTTTCTCACATGTTCTGATTGGATTCTGGAAGATTTGGTGAAGTTTCTGCAAGATTCTGCATAGGATTTGGAGAAGTTTCTCACATGTTCTGATTGGATTCCGGAAGATTTGGTGAAGTTTCTGCAAGATTCTGCATAGGATTTGGAGAAGTTTCTCACATGTTCTGATTGGATTCTGGAAGATTTGGTGAAGTTTCTGCAAGATTCTGCATAGGATTTGGAGAAGTTTCTCACATGTTCTGCCTGGATTCTGGAAAGATTTGTTTAGGGTTTGCGAATCTGTTTGGATGCCATCTGGAACATGACTCTTTAGGCAATACTAAAAGTAAATAAAGCTAATTAACTTTTAGTATTGGAGAAAAAAATGGAGTTGGAAAGAAAGTTTCTACTATTGCCATGTTGGGCCCATTATTGGCCATGCCCTCTGGACAAGGTCTGAACATGACTATTTTGGCAATACTAAAAGTAAATAGAGCTAATTGACTTTTAGTATTGGAGATAAAACTGGAGTTGCGGAAAAATGTTTCTACTATTGACAAGATATCACTATTGGCTGGACAACATTATACATGTAAGCTCTCCATAATATGAATCTTGGTTCTTGATTGCGTGAATGCTAGTGTAGTTCCAATTGGATGGGATGAGCAGATGCCAAGAATTGCAGAGAAAGAGGGAGGGGTGCGTCAGCTCGTGTGGATGGATAGCCCACGTTGATCCCACTTTGATATTCCCTGGCGGGCTGGGTTGGTTGATTTTGAGAAGCTCACTGGTCACCGGTGGTGATCGGTGATGACCAGTGGGGACCGGTGTTGGATGTTTTGGATTATATTGGCAACAGCAAGGGGGCAGCTGTCTGGCAACATGTGTGCACTGTACTGTGCAGGCTCATCTAAGATACTTACTTGTGAATACTTGTGTAGCAGTCAGCTTCAGATCAAAAAGATGCCAATGAAATGGAAGTCAGCGGAACATGTTTTCAGTTTTCACATGTTAGATGTTCTTTTGGTAAATTCCGAATTTAGCCCATCACATCTACAAGTTCACTACCAATCCGCTCCAGAACGCAGGCTCTGGAAGCTTCTGCTGAAGAGAAACGCTTGGCCATGTGGCTTCGCATTGCCAAGTACAAACACAAGAACCTGGGCAGCAGGTATTACCATCATGTATTACCCAATCGCCCGCAGGGCCCTTCCTGGAGGGGCCTGGAGGGGCCTGGAGGGGCCTGGAGGGGCCTGGAGGGGCCTGGAGGGGCCTGGAGGGTAGTTGCCTTCGCATGCTGAAGACATTTGCTTTAAATTCAATCGGCACAAGGCTGCTGCAAGCTTGTCACATCTTGTCACTTGAGAAGGTTTTGGCGCTTTTCAACAGATTTGAAGGGAGATAGAGCTGGCCCGGTCACATTCAAAGTAACCCCATGGATCTAGATGTGTGCTGCCACACGAGGAAGGGAACTTTATCAACTTCAATGGAGGAAACATTAACCTCGATCCCCGAGCTCAGCAGCCTGTTGGAATCACCCTCGCGACCACAGCCTTCAGATCCGATGCTTGGTGCAGTTAGAGCATACCAGCTGATGGCTGAAAGCATCAAATTTGCTACGATTTTCATGTTTCAGCAACCATTGCCCTTCGCTTCTTCAAAGGGTAATTAATAGCTATACCAGTAAGGCGGTGGCGGAAGTTTCAAAAATAGGAAACCCTATAGGAGAGATTGGTTGTTGTGACTCACTGATGGCAGAGCGAAGCCACTGATGGACCGACTGGTGGTTGAGGTCTCTTCTCTTTCTCTCTCTTTCTTTCTCTTTCTCTGACTATCTACCTACCTACCTATCTATCTATGTATCTATCTATCTATATATGTATCTATCTATCTATTTATCTATCTATTTAGCTATCTATCTATCTACCTATCTATCTATCGATTATCTACCTATCTATCTATCTATCAATCTATCAATCAATCTATCAATCTATCAATCAATCAATCTATCTATCTATCTGTCTCTCTCTCTCTCTATCTCTCTCTCTCTATATCTCTCTCTCTCTCTCTATCTCTCTCTCTCTCTGTCTGTCTGTCTGTCTATCTATCTGTCTATCTGCAAGCTTGAAAACGAAGCTATTCTGCGAGACTTCCTCAGTTTTTGAACTTGACAACATCAAAAACGCAGCAATTCAGCGAGACTTCCTCAATTTTTGAACTTGACAACATCAAAAACGAAACAATTCTGCGAGACTTCCTCAGTTTTTGAACTTGACAACATCAAAAACGCAGCAATTCAGCGAGACTTCCTCAAGTTCAAAATTGACAACATCAAAAACGAAACAATTCTGCGAGACTTCCTCAGTTTTTGAACTTGACAACAGCAAGAACGCAGCAATTCAGCGAGACTTCCTCAAGTTCAAAATTGACAACATCAAAAACGAAACAATTCTGCGAGACTTCCTCATTTTTCGAAGTTGACAACATCAAAAACGAAAGAATTCTGCGAGACTTCCTTCAAAAATGAAAAGTTGAGTGCAGAGCTGACGGCCTCGTACCAATGCGTTTTTTTATTTGTCCAGTCCATCTGTCTAAACTACTGCGCCTACCACGACAAAGTGATGCCAGGTCATACGAAGGAAGCGCTGCGCCTGTCACGCAAAATCATTTCAGCAAACCTGAAGATCGGAGGCTCCAAAATGCAACCCCTCTCAGGAAATCAGCGCCCGGACCTCCTAACATCTCTGATGAACATGTCTCTTGTACTGCGCCTGCCACGGAAAATGCATCTTTCCAGATAAATCTTCAAATGTCTCACGCCTGCCACCGTTTTTTGAAATGCTACAAAACCCTCACGTTTTGCTCACTTTTGACAAGGTCCACAATCCCTTGCGCCTGCCGCGCGAAAGCACATCTGAACCTCCAAAAGTGGCTCGAACATTTTGACTTCGAAATGTGCCTCGCGCCACAACGGCGTGCACTTTTTCGACATCTCAACTTCCAAAAGTGGTCCGAGCATGGTGTGTTTTGTACATTTTGACTTCGAAATGTGCTTCGCGCCACAACGGCGTGCACTTTTTCGACATCTCAACTTTCAAATGTGGTCCAGAGTCCAGAGCTGGTGTGTTTTGCACATATTGACTTCGAAATGTGCTTCGCGCCACAACGGCGTGCACTTTTACCACATCGCAACTTCCAAAAGTGGTCCGAGCATGGTGTGTTTTGTACATTTTGACTTCGAAATGTGCTTCGTGCCACAACGGCGTGCATTTTTTCATCTCTCATCTGGCCAGATGGCTCCGCACCCGCCGCTTTAGCGAGCCTACTTTTCGACCCTCCGGAGCCACAAACCACTGGAAAAACACAGTGTTTCGCGACTTTCCTACCATTTCCTACCTTTTCGCACGCCTTCATCTTCTTTCTTCTGACTCTTTCTCTTCTCTGATCTTCTCTCTTCTACTCTTCTCTTCTCTCTACTCTTCTCTTCTCTCTGACTCTTCCCATCTCTGCTTTTCATCTGTCCATATTGTCGGAAGTTTGACTTCTAAACTTCCTTCGATAATATAAATAAATTTGGCTAAATTGGTTCTCTGCAGCGAACTCGAGGACTGAACCAAGCAGAATAAGGGTGGTGCCCAGTGACAGTCCCGCCTTGCTCTGGCGGCGTAACTACTTAGCACTAAAGGCATGGCAGGCTGTCCATGGAGCCTTGCCCAAAGCTTCCTTTGGTGCGCAAGCGAAAACTCTTGCAAATTGGTTGGCTAAAGCCAAGCAGCTCTACAAGCGGGGGAAACTGAGCAGCTTGGCACAAACCTGAAGCAGCTCCAGTTGATGATTGCAACTTCTTTACTCCACTGAACCTCGTGAGATTGATTTCGTGGCATTTGCTGCAACTAAGTAAGGTCGGGAGCAAATCCAAGACCTTCTGAAGATCCCTGGCGCTTTTGAGCGGCTGCCTGGCAGGGTTGTAGTGGTGGCCATGATTTATATTCATTGTTTATCATAGATTATTCTATGATATTAGTGCGTCATGTCATAGACACGGAGCATGCTGCCTATGGCATTTTTGTTTCAAGGCAACCCCGTTGGTTTTCTCATGGCTCTTTGGTGAGCAGACCCAGCGGTCCGACTGCCAGAGGTTTAATAAAACGAAACCACCAACCTTTGACGACGTCATCACGAGAGGCTTGGCAGACTTATCTTCTTCTGCCGATCTGTATCCTCAGGTTTTTTGCTAATCTTGTTGCATTGAATCGCTTTGAACATTTTCAAAGTTTCCACTGGTTATCGGCGGCAAATGAAGAGACCGGATACACATTTATTCGTTTTTTTTGCAAGATTTCGCAAGTTTCTGCAAAACCCGTATGCATCCATGTTTGAAGCGCAGCGGTCCAACACAATGCATGGACTCCATGGACATGGTGTTGCACCAAGGAATTCAGCTGTGGATAAGCCAGTTTGGTAGCTTGCCACAAGCCTACAAAAATCGGAGCGAGGACTGGCGTGGTACCTTTTTTGTGCCACAAGTCCCCATGGAATGTTAATGAAGCTGCTTGCAAGTGCAGGCGTCGTACCATGGCAGTTGTTTGCCCTTGTTGCCAGGATCCGTATGAGAAGTATTTGACAAACTGGCTGGTGAAGGCCATGAACAGGCTCGTCCTATCAGGAAGCATTCATTATGGTGTGAGCATTTGTCAGCAGATTGGGGCCGTCTTATGCTAGTGGCTGAACTTTCAACGGAATCCAGTCTATGTTCTGGACTGAGCGGCAAGTCTGGCATTGGCTATTTCGAAAAAAATTGAGGGATAGCAGAATGATTGACAGTAGTATAGTAAGCCACGTTGTAGCCACCTGCCTTTGCCGCGAGGCACTTGGATGGCAAACTGTCTCAGAAGCAGTCTACTTCCTTGCAGCAGCTTCATGGTGTCATGGATCAGCTTGAGGACATTGTACGCTGCATGTGCATTGCATGCTCTTTCGCAGCTGCAAGTGCTGTCTACTTTCATGCAACATACACCAAGAAATCTGAAATGAGACCCAAAGGAGATCCGAAAACGGCGATCTTCATGGGAAGTGCATTATGAGCGCCTGCGTCAGTGGCTGGTGGATCGTAATGTGGATCTACTTGCGAATTGGCGGCTTGCCCTTGGAAAGATTAAAGGTGTTGGACAGAGTTGAAGACCAGTGGTCACTGGCTGGGATTTGATATGCTTGTCAACACATTGGTATAGTACATATATATATATAAAGATATATATATATATACATATGCATATAATTAGATGTGCAGTACATGCAGATACATGCAGATATTCCTCTTTTTATTCGTAATTCTTGTCCTGGCATACGTGAGACAGTGTGTCTCGGGATCTAGATTAGTATCCCGATATACCGCGTAACGAGTAAAAGAAACGAATAGTGAAGAAAGCGCTTTGTGACTTTGTGAAAACATAAACGTCGGTTGAAAACAACAACAGAAGGTGAAGGTGAGATATGCCCGCACTTCCCCCATCTTCCCCCCAAACCACCTGAAGGCAGGTAGATAAGATGGTAGATATAACATACTCGGATGGTATGCCAAGTGGCTGTTCTCTATCACACTGCGTATGCTGAGGAGGGACTTCTCCGAAGAGGAATTGGGGCTGGGTTTGTCTGAAGCTGCGGTCAGGGATATCATTGTAAAGGAGGGATGGTTGGATAGTCTCGGTATCCCCAAATGATAATATTTGAATCTGCTGACTTTTTCCCGAATGCGTAGCAAGAGTTCCCATTTCACTCTGGGGGTTTGGGGGTTGAGGGCGTGTTCGCTAGACGTCGCGCAACCGTCTGCAACCGGTCGCAACCGTTCGCGTGAGGTTTATGGCCGTGCCTCTGGGGAGTGCTGCAAAAGTGGTCACTTTCGGAGGTTTCAGACGTTTTACGCAACTTCATTTCGTGTGGCAGGCGTCGTGGCACTTTGTGACATTCCAACACAATGTTTCACAACGTGTCAAAAGTCGCTCCGTGTAGCAGGCGCAATACTTTCGCGTCGTTTTCAGAAGGGGACTTCCATTTTTCGTGGCAGGCGCAGCACTTTGGAGACCTCCATCGTCATTTTGCGTGGCAGGCGCAGCACTTCAGACGCATCGTGTTACGCTTTTTTTGTGGATCGCATTGCGTCAAGTGTGGTGGCAATGTGCAAATTCCGTCGCAGTCGTGGCCGGTTGTGACAAGCGATGAGAATTGACGGAAGCATCGCACGAAACATCGATTTTGAGGTCGTAGATTTTGGGGTTCATGACAAGAACCATAGGAAAACGTCGATTTTGTAGCCACACAGTGTTAAATTCCACACGTTAAATTCCACACTCCACGCTCTACACTCTAGACTTTACACTTCGCACTTTACATTTGGCACTCCACACTACATTTTGCACTCCACACTTTGCACTCCACACTCCACACTTTACACTCCACACTTTACACTTTGAACTCCACACTCTCCATTTCACACTCCAAACATTACACTCCACACCTCGCACTCTAGGCTACGCTTTATATACACTTTATTTACACTTCGCGCATTCCGCTTTAACACCCCGCACGCCGCACTGTACTCTCTACACTACGCTTGAAGCTCTACACTCGACACACGACACTCTACACTTTACACCTTACACTTTGCACTTTGCCCTTTACACTTTACACTGCGCACTTTGCACTCCACACTTTGCACTTTACACCCCGCACTGTACACTTGACACTCCACACTCTACCCTTTTCCACTGCACACAATACACTCTACGCTTTGCACTTTACACTTCGCACAGTCCGCTTTAACACCTCCAATTCCACACTCTACACTCTACACTCTACACTTTACACTCCACACTACACTTTACACTTTACACTTCCCACTTTGCACTTTACACTCTACACTTTGCACTTGACACTGCGCACTCTACACTTTACACTCCACACTTCAGACTTTGCACTTTACACTTCACACTTAACACTGTACACTTGACACTCCACACTCTGCGCTTTACACTTTACACTCCGCACTCCACACGCCAGACTCTACACTTGACACTTTACACTTACACTTTACACTCTAAACTGAACTTTGCAACCGCCCTTTGCACTTTACACTTCACTCTTTACACTTGACACCCCCACTCTACACCGTACACTTTACACTCCCCACTTTACAGTTTACACTCCACACTCTACACTTTACACTCCGCACTCTACACCTGACACTTGACACTTGCCACTCTATACTTTACACTGTACACTCCGCACTCTACACTTTACAGTCCACACTTTACACTTTACACTTTACACTCCGCACTCTACACTGCACTCCACACTTTACAACTTACACTTTACTCTCCACACTCCACGCTCTACACTTTACACTTCGCACTTTGCACTTGACACTCCACACTACGCTCTACACTTTACATTTTTCACCTCATATTTTAGACTTGACACTTTACACTTTACACTCTACACTACACTTTGTACTCCACACTTTACGCTTTACAAGTAGCGTCCTCATCGCACAATCATGCTGGGCGGCAGCCACGGGTTGCAACATCTACAAGGTTTTCCTTTCTACGTGTTTCGACATTTGTACCATTGACATACGTGCGAGCATTCGGCTTCGTGGGCTGCATCTTATTCTATTTGGCCCAGGCAAGGGACACCGAACACATCTCGAAATTCAAAGACCACTTAGGCCACTGCTGCATCGGTGTAATAGAAAAATCTAGCAATAACGCGCGTAAACCCTCCATGACGACGTGGTATGTCTTCTGGCCTTTCATTACGACATCTGAAAGCACAAGATGATCCTGCATTTCGCATCATTTCACAGCCTCTCGGACGTGATCATTCAAAGTATTGCAAGGCAAGAAACTCTAATAATCTCTGTAACTCCGAGAATCATTTTCTAAACATGACGAGAGCGAACGCTGCGAGGAGCCAGAACTGGCCTGGTGGGTAGCCTATCAACGGCAACGCTTTCTTCGCCGCCCCTGGCTATTGTCGGAGGAGCAGGTTGAGCTGCTGAAGGCGGGATGTTTCCAGTGTTGTCACATCAACTGATCCGACACTGGTTGATGAGCACATAATCAATCCGGTCATGTAATCAATCCAGATGTTGTGGTTTGTAGCTTGAGGCACTCCCTGGCTTCCAGACGTCCTTAGAGAAGTGGAACCAGTCGAAAGAGTTCCCGGGCATGCTTTTAAACATTTTTTTTGTCTTCCAGTAACTGCGAAGTAGCTAGTTCCTGCCATGAAAAGATTATAAAAGATTCTGAGGGTCTGACAATCAATCTCAATAGGCAATTTACATTCATGCTGCAATATTTCATGGATGAGGATAGTTCACTATTCATTCTGTTTTTTAAAATATTTTCTCATCAAGAGATTCATCACGAAAACTAGCTTCGGATCGGATAGCGAAAGTCCCTCTTGCTTTACGAGTAGCAAGGTATTGGCAGAGGCTGGAATCACCAATCACTATCAGATAAAACTTCACAGTTAACTACTCTGTATTCGTATCCCGCAATTCCTCACACACCTCTCTTTCACTGCACCTTCTTCCCTTTACCATCCTAGCTAGCTTTCGACCCTCACCCCTTGGCCTCAAGTTTCATATGATTTGCAGACGGGAAAAGAGATCCAGTGAGGTCCCGCTTGTTTCAACAGCGTTGCGATCTAGTTCAGTGCTGGGCCGACAAACATGGTGGACAACTTCCCAGTGGATCACATGTGGGTGACTTGATCTCTGCCGAGAGTGTCCTTGATCCTGCTGGCCTCTTTTCTGACGACCAGAATGAGTGGCACATGAATTTACTGAGCTGGGTCAATCAAACTGTTGACATGATCAATTTCAGGAAGTGCACCCAGTCCCAGCGATACACTTTGAGGAAGTACCCATGTTTCGCAAACTTGATGCCCAAACCACAAGTGAAAGCAGAAGAGCCCTCTCGTTGGTGGAGGCGGTTTCGCCAGCTCAAGAGGTGGATTTCAGTTTCTGATCGCATTCCGCGTATCAGTACGGATTCACTGATGGAAAGAAAACTTGGACACTGGTTGGCAGACACACGCAAGTCTTATTCTAAAGGGGCTTTGGACCAGGATCGTTTATCTCATTTGTGGACGCTTCCGCCCGTGGCGACATATTTCACCCGTGTGACAACCCGGGTTGTTTTTTCGTGGGACGATCATTTCTCCTCGTTGCAAGCTTGGCTCATGACGCAGAATGGGCGTTTGCCTACATGCTCCGGTGATGAAGATGAACGGAAGTTGGCGGTTTGGCTGCAGAATTCTTGCGCCAAAGCACGGAAAGACGAATTGCAGCCTGGACGACTTGCGAAACTGAAAGAAGTTCCTGGTTTGGGCCCTCGGCTGCGTGGGGAATCGCCTCGATTGCACCTTGTTTGGAAAGGCCACTATGATTCCCTGGTAGAATGGTTGGAGGCACACGGTGGCAAACTTCCGTGTGGAAGCAGTGGTGCAGCGAAAGAAAGGCTCACGGCATTTTGGTTGCACAACAATTTGGTCAAGGCACAGGACGGAGACTTAGCGTCCGAGAAACAGGAGCAGTTGCAGGAAGCGTTGGGTCTTTCCAGCTTGGACTGGGGTGGGGAGAGTGGCTGCAGACTGTTGGAAGACTGGTTTAGCATTCATTTGCACCAACATACTGTCTACAAATGTATTCCGGGAAGAAGAAGAGAACTTGTGGAGCGCGCAGCGGGCAAATCCGCAGCGCACCAAGAATCCAATCCGGCAACATCAGGACTGCGCCGTGTGCGCATGCCCGTACCATGGGGCACTAGCTTTCGAAGGTTAGAGGCATGGTGCGAAATTCATGGGCGACTGCCACATGTTGGGGCAAAGGCTTGGAGAGAGAGGACCTTGGCAATTTGGTTGAAGAATGCGGTGCAAGCGACCAGGCGGGGCAATCTTGACCAAGAGCGCCTTGCTAAGCTCAGCCAGGTGCCTGGTGTCTCGGACAGACTTGAGACAAGAACCCAAAAAAGCATTAGTAGAGTTGAAGCATTCAAAACATGGCTGTCTAAGCACAACAATCAACCACCATCACGCTGGAGCAGCGCTTTAGAGGAACGGTGCTTCGCCTTTTGGCTCGAGCGGAAGCTTTACCGCGCCCGGCAGGGGAAAGTGCCCACTGAGGAGCTTCAAATGCTGAAATCGATCGATTTTGTCGCGGAACAGTTGGGCACTATATAGCGCACTTGGAGTGACCGAAATTTGCTTCGACGCGACTAGAAACGCAGCCGGCATGCTATGCCAAGATTCTTGCAAATATCCAAGGTGATCGCTCAGTCCTTCGGTCTTGGATGATCTGGGATTCAGCGTGGTACGGCCGGAAGGGGAGGATTCGCTGCTCATGGTGCTCGAAAGAGATGCCGGAGGCTTGATGCTGAAGTCTTTGCTGCTTCACTCAGTACGCCGAGAAAAAGAGGGGTCATGAAAATGGTACACAGGAGGGGGTTGGCATGGATGCAAGTGCCAATTGTGGTGTTTGCCGCGACACGGAAATTGTTAAGTTATGTCATGTTAATAAGTTACAATCATAGAAAAGCAGTTACAATATGCTACAGTGTAGGAACTTACTAGCAGATAAAATTATTCCGGCAAGGGACCCCAAACAGTGCGTAGTTAGGATTCTAAAGGGAAAGGTGGAAAGGACCTAAAAGCATCAGTGGCTGCAAGCTAGCAGGACAAGAGCGACCCTAGTAGTGAAAGCATGGTGTTCATTCAAGGTGGCCTCTGGAAGAAGAGGTATCAGGTAAGATTCTGCAAGTTCCCTTTGTGAAGATCTCTGTAGAAGATTGTGCGCAAGATCTCCTTGAGAGGTTCTCTGTAGAAGCTGCTGTGCAAGATCCCCGTGCAAGATCCCTGTGTCAGATCTTTGGAAGGGATCCCGAAGTAAGATCTCTGTTCAAGCTATAAAAACAGGATCTCCGAGCAAGACCTCTGCTCTCTGCATCAGGTCTCTGTACAAGATCTCCAAAAGAGCTCTCCTGGCAAGATCTCTGTACAAGATTTCTATAAGAGCTCCGCTGGCAAGATCTCCGTAAGAGACCTCTTGGCAAGATCTCTGGACAAGATCTCTACAAGAGATCTCTTGGCAAGATCTCTTTATGAGATCCCTGTACAGGCTCTCTATAAAAGCTCTCTTGGCAAGATTTATGTAAGAGACCTCTTGGCAAGATCTCTGCAACAGATCTCTATGCAATGTCTCTGTACAAGATCTCTGGGCAAGCTCTCTCTCTAAGAGACCTCCTTGCACCGCGCCGCAACGATTGCGATGTGATAGGCCCAAAGTGACGAGAGGGTTGCGCGAGCCATCTCAAAATGAGTACCGCGCCAAAGCGAGAGCGATCTGACAGAATTATTTATATTTTTTCTTAAATAAATATAAATATAATATTTTTGTTTTTTTGCAGAAAGGGACGCCACCAGGGCCCACAAATCACATACTGTACTTGCAATTTTGCTGATTTTTAGTTATTTTCTTTTTCATTCTTGCTATTATCAATGACTTCTATTGGAAGGATATGTATATATGTATACATTTCATCAAATACACGTATCTATTCCATTTCCCCTGAAGGATTTATACAAGCATGTGTTTCAGTGACGCTACTCCAGGGGGGGGTCGAGCAAAAAAATAAAATAAATATATATATATATATAACGCTACTCCAGGGGGGGTCGAGCAAAAAAAAATAAATATATATATATATAAATAAATATTTTTTGCTCGACCCCCCCTACTCCCTGTGAGAAGAAAATGCGCAGGATGTGGCCAATGGGGACTAGATCGATGCCAATGCCAAGTTTTAAAAAATGGAACGCCTGGGGACAAGTACAGGGGACACCTGGGGGAGAAGTAAAGGGGACACCTGGGGGAGAAGTAGGGATACACAAGGGTGACAAATAGGGAAAAACAAAGTGGGAAACATAAGATAGAGACACTCAAAGAGGACAAAGTAGAGACAGACATGGAAAATGACAAACTAGGGACAGACATGGAAGATAACTAGAGGCACACAAGGGGGGGTACAATATGGAGACACAGGAGAAGGGGAGGAAACACAGTAGGAACATGCAAGGGGGCGAGGGGCAAAATAGGGACAGATTAGGAACATGCAAGGACACATAAGTGTTTCGGTGCTTTAAGAGGTTATGGTCCTAGGTATGATATACAATATGTATATATACCATATAAATAGTAGTTTTTAAATAGATATTGATGTTTTAAGAGCTCCTTGTGATATAGGCAACATGGATGTTGCATATGCTATAGCCATATGCTGTATCAGCACACCCAAGGCGCATATGTGCTTAGAATGCCACTGTAGCCATATTAAGTATATATATATATATTTATGAACTTGCATGTTCTTTGGTCTTACTACTGTATGCATCTATGATATGAATGGT